CCCCTGACAGTCGAAGCTCCTGGAGTCGCACCAGGGGACTGAGCCTTCGGGCTGGGATGGCTGAGATGGGGTTCTGAGATAGATCCAGGACCGTGAGGAAGCTCAGGTGGTGCAGCGCCTGGAAGGGCACGGAGCTCAGATTGCAGCGGGTGATGGCCAGGCTGCTAAGATTGAGTCCAGCCAGGCTCCCAGGCTCCAGGGCCTCCAGAGCTGGCCAGTGGTGGATCTCCAGCTCCTTTAGCTGCCCCAGCCCTTGGAGCGCCCCCGCTGGCAGCCTTCCGATATCCAGTTCTCGGAGTCTTAGGGACACTAGTTCTGGAAGCCGGGCCAGGGCCAGGCCGGGCACTGTGCTGAGGTTGCAGCGCTCCAGGGTGAGGGCGCTGAGCTTGGCCAGCCCTGCAAAGGCCCCTGGAGCCACAAACACCAGGTGGTTGTCCCCAACCTCCAGTTGCCGGAGGCTGCCCAGTTCCCCAAAAGCTCCGTCAAGGAAGAGGACAATCTGGTTGAGGCGGAGGTCCAGCAAGGTGAGGGCAGAGAGGCCCGAGAAGACCCCAGGCCCCATGATTCGCAGGCGATTGCCCTGCAGTCTCAGGGTGAGTAGGCTTCGCAGGCCGTGAAAGGCCCCTGGCTCCAGGGTAGACAGCTGGTTGTAGCTGAGGTCCAGTTCCTGTAGCAGGCCCAGGCGAGAGAGCATCCCCTGCTGAAGCCCCCACAGGCGGTTCCCACTCAGGTCCAGGAGTTCAGTGTCCAGTGGGAGTCCCCCGGGCACAGCCTCCAGCCTCCGGTGGGCACAGAGCACTGCCCGGGGCTGGGAGGAACAGTCACACAGAGCAGGGCAGCCACCACTGCTCCCTCTGGGCAGGAGGAGCAAGACAAGGAGAGGGGGCCACGGGGGCCAGGCTTGCTTTGGAGCTACCGTGTCTGCAGCCATCCCCTCTTCAATCCTGGAACAGATGATGACATGTCCCTTTTTGGAAAGTGGCTTCAGGTGATGGTGACCCTGGACTTCCCCGGGCTGCCTTAGGGCAGAGAGAGAGAAAGCCGCCCATCTCAGCACTGCCAGGAAGTGGGGCACAGACCAGGAGGAATTCTGGTCTGTACCTCCCTGGGGCCTCCTGGGACTCCTCTTTGGAAAATCTCTATTTTCCTCTCCTCCTGGCCCTGGCGTCTGCAGGCCAGGTGACACTAGCTCATGGAAACCTAGTCAAGCCTGATTTCTGTGGGGCAGTTTTATTGGGACTGGGACTGGGACAGAAAGCAGCAGGAAGTAACGTTACCCTGTAACTGGTTTTTCTCTGTATCTCTGAGATCCATAAATGCTTCTGGCCCCTTTGCCCTGCTACATGCTCTCCCCAAGCTCTGCTCTGTCCCCCTCTTCCTACCCTCTCCTCCCATATTATCTACCTGTAGCCTTGGGGTAGATTTGAGAGGCCTCACTGTGAGTCAGTCACCCAAGGCTGGGAACTGTGCAGGCCTCAGCTCCCCCAGCCCCCACTTACTGCCTCTCTGCCCTCCTTAACCTGGCACAGAGCCTGAGGCCCTAGACTAGCAAGATCCAATCTCCCCGGAATGCCTGTATGGACAACAGCCAAGTTGCACATTAGCTGTGGCACAGGACACAGGGGCCGTTTGAACCCCTCACGGGAACCCCAAGGGCAACCCTTCCTCCCCAATAAATGATGTTGGGGTATGCGAGGGACCCAAGAGATGCCTAAGTTTGGAGTTTTGTTGCTTGGTCCTCAGACTTAAGCTTCTCTTATGTCCCTCCTTCATGGTGTTTTGATTCAAGTCCAATATGTGAATCTGAGGGAAATCTCTTGTCCCTTTGGCTTCAGCTGCCTGAGCAATACACAAGAGACAGACTGTGAGCCAGGGAGGTGTAGACAAGTACAGGGGGATAGCACCCTATCAGGCACGGTGGGTGGGGAGCAAGGCAGCCCTTGAGTGGCACACACAGCCCGTTCACTTAAAGTGGGTTTCTGGGTGCCAGGGGTCTGGACAAAATCAGGAAGACTGTGATTACAGTGACCACTGGACACCGACTCAGGGGACAGAGGAGAAGGTAGTGAGAATCCTTAACTCACCCTGTTCAATGCCAACAGGGTTCCTCAGGGAGAGAAGGGTTTGGAATTGGCAAGGGGTGGCTAAATGGAGGTGGGATACCCGGGCTTCTTTCTAGCTGCAGATCCTGGTCACCTTTGGGCTTTCGGGTGTCAGGCTTTCTGGGCGCTCACAGAGTTAGCTTGCTACTACATGCCTCGTTTTCTCCCACCTGGAACTTAGGAGAGGCAGTTTAAGAGGCATCTTCTCCTTTCCTTCCCACTCTACACCGTCCTCTAGAAGGATCCTACAGCTGCTCAGAGGCAGTAGGAATTGGGAAACGGAAGGAAGGGGCCCAAACAGTAGAGGGATGTGGGACACTATTATGAGGTTTGAGCTCAAGAAAGAATGGCGTGGGGCCCGCAAAGACTGCTGACCAGGCTCCTCTCACCCCTCTCTCACCTGACAGGTAGCCCTGGCATGCTAAGAGTGCTGCAGGGCGGCAATGCCCCAGCTTCCTCACTCCCCCTGTGCCTGTTCTGGGAAGTCCCCCAGTCGGTGAGCACTCGATCAGCAGCGCTGCAGTTCCTGCTCACGCTCCCTGCTCTGCGCTCAGCAGAAGTGCAGTGGAGCGTGCAGCCCTCCTTCCCTCCTTCCCTCCTTCCCTTCTTCCCTTCTTCCCTTCTTCCGTCTGCTGCAACTTCCCTCTTCCTTCCCAAAGCCTCCTGGGCCAGGGGCTACCGGATTTGGGGCCAACCCCTTCTCTTTATTTATAAGGTGGCTAATTTAATCACCAACTTCCCTTGCCAATTTCCATGGCTATACGACTGGCTTCCGGCCACTTTGCAGGAAGAAATAGGTGTTGAAACCACTTCTTTCTCTCCTTAAATGGGCTGAGGTCTGGGGCACCAGCCCCTCAAGGAATAAGGGGCTTTCTTGTCTCTCTGTGGCTGTCCAGACACACATTTGAACCTGGATAGCCTCTTTAAAGCAGATGGATTGAGGCAAGGGGACCTTCGTGGGGAGGGGGCTCTTGGAGGAAAGACTGGGCGGGAAGACCCTCCTCAGAGGTAGAGGGAGCCCCGGGGAGATAAAGGGAGGTCTCCTTGGAGTCTCTGTCCCCAGGGGCACTTGAGATATCTTAGTTTTCCCATGAACATCCGGTGGGGCCAGGATCAATGGTTGCCTAGGGGTGGGGTGGGGGCGGGGCCACAAACCCTCTGGCCTTGGCTAGCGCAGGGGTCTGGCCTTTTCTCTGAGAACATTATGGAGAAGGGCAATTGCAGCCCTGGGACAGGAGGTGGGGGCACTTACCAGAGAAGCTGGAGCGCGGCATCAAGTTGGGTACTGCATCTGTCCAGGGCTGGGGGCCCGTCCCATTTGAGCTGCACCTCGGCCCACGCCTCCCCCGGGTGCTCACTCCCACTGCCCCCTGCCCGCCTGCCGGTCCGCCTGCCCGTCTGTCTGCCCGCAGCTGCTGTTGCTGCTGCCGCCACTGCTGCCAAGACTGAGGTAGAAAAAAGAACCAGAAAGCTTTTCTCCTTTTTTTCCTCTCTCTCTCTCTTTTTAAACCAGGCGAGAATGAGTCTGCAGCAACCCTGTTGGTGCAAAATAAATAAATAAAGCAACCAGGGAGGGCTGCAGCAAGCGCTGCTACTGGATGGCGAGTGAGCGGGAGCAAGGGGCGGAGGCTGGCTCTGGAGCCCCCAGGGGTTGGGGTCGGGCAGTGGAAGCCACTGGGCAGTTCCAAAGGGTCTCTGGGACATCCCGATTCGATTCCCTTCGGGGGAGCCCCGGGGCCAAGCGCCTTCCTTAGGATTGTCTTCCCCGATGCAGGGCAATTCTATGCAACCTCCCACTGTAAACGTCCCCTATGGGTATCATTTGTGGGGAAAGTTCTCAGCCCAGAACATCCCCTGTGGAGCTGAGGCTGAGGCTCCTTCCATGGGGGGTCCTGAGGATCCCGCTCCCAAGCTCCCAAGCTCCCAAGCTTCAGTGAGGGATGATCAGAGTTAGGAGCTCAAGTCCTTACTGATGGCTGGCTGGGCTGGAAACTGGGGTCCCCACATAGGAATGAGACTGCAGAGAAGATTACCTTCCAATAAGAAGGTAATCTTATTGAAGGCTCCTCTGACACACACACCTCTGGCCTTTGAAATCGTTTTATAAAGAATGGCACAAGTTGGGGTTTCCATTTACCTAATTAACCCCTCCCCTGACAGGCAAATTCCCTCCCTCCCAGGACCTGCTATTAATCCCTCAGCAGAGGGCTCACAGCTCTTTAAAAAGCCAAATCTAGTGCTGGGGCTGGAAAAAACGGGCCACCTCCTCCCTGCTGGAGTCAGTGGTTCCCAGTCGCTGAGTGGCGGAACTGCAACTGCTCCTGCTCCATTTCTCGTAACAGAGCAGGGCTGGAGGGCAGGGCCCACACAGTCCTCCTGGGGTCTGTCCTTGGCCTTCTGACTGACCGGTGCCCAGCCGCCTCTGCTTCTCTTGGATATTCTTGTGATAGGAGACAGCTGGGCTGGGATAGCGTTTGGAGCGCCTCAGTTCTAAGACTGGTGGATGGGGCACCATGGGAATGCTCTGGGGTCCCTCAGGATTATTGCACTTCCTGAGGCCACTAAGCTCCTCTGTGACATCAAGGAAGACAGAGATTGTAGCAGACCTAATGTGTCGATAGAGCTGCATAATTGCAGGTTGAGTGAGTGTGTGTTTCACCTGTATGTGGACGTGTCTCCAATCAGATTTGTGCTAACTCCCAATGTCTGTTTTTAAAGTGCACCTAAGAGATTCGAGTTCTTTCTCTCTCTCTGCCTATGATGCTCTTGGTTTTCACTGTACCCTATCCTATACCCAAATCCCATAAAAAAATTATCCCCAGCCCCTTGCCCTCCATGTATGCAGTTTTTGTTTTGTTTTTTAGACCCCAGGGAAAGGGCAGGGTGCCCAACCATTTCCTTGCTGAGCTTGAAGGTCCAGATTCAAGTTCTACACAGGTCCTTCTGGGCTCCAGCCGCCAGTCTCTGAGCTTGACGCTTCCCCTCTGCTGAAGCTCACAGGAAAATGCAATGAGGTATTTCAACGACCTATTCTTAGCTTCTGAGCCCAGAGATGAGTTCCATTCATCCAGGGTGTCCTGGATCCCCCCTGTTGTCCTGAGGACAGGTTGGTCCTCCTGGAGGTCCTTCTACTCCCCACCCCCCTGCTCCAGAAGCTGGGGTGAAGGGCATGGGAGAGAGGACAGAACAAAGCTGAGTCTGGAGACGGTGTTCCTCTGTCCCAACCCTCTGGATCTTGGCCCGCTGCCGGCAAGCCCGTGGGCAGAAAACCAGTCTCAGCATTTGCTCAATCCCAAAGATCAGGTAGGGCTGCCCTCCAGGGGGCATGGAAAAGGAAAAGGCTGAGAGGGGGAGGGGTCCAGGGAGGTGGTCCAGTAGGCTCTAGGGACAGGAAAGGAGTCCCTCTTCCAGGTCACTCGGACAGCCCCTCGGGTGACTCGATTTCAGTGCTGAAGAGTTCCTTGTAGAGTGGGGGGAAAGCAGCCTGGACCACGATGGGGTGGAGATGCTGGAAGGTTTGCAGCTTTTCCACATGCTGGCTGCACAGGCTCCGAAGTTTCCCCTTGGGTGGCAGCTGGAGATGGGTTAATGGGGAAGGGGGGTCAGTACTCTGCCCAGAGCAAGAGAGTCCTTTCCTCTTTCCTGGCCCAGGGCAACCCCCCTCTCTTTCTCTCTATACACTTGGCACTTGTTGGGACAGCCAGACCCTACTGGTAGGGGTAGGCATGTGTCAGGAAATCAGAGGCAAGGAAACACTGATGTGGGCCAGTGCATGTTTTCTGGGCAAAACCCCCAATCATGTTCCTGCTACTCCTAAAAGGAGCCCTGTTAAAGCCTTTAATTCACACTTTATGCTCTTATAATAGTGGAATTCTGTGACTCTGGTTTATATACTGTCACATGACTCTTTGCCTTTGTTGATACTGTTCCCCCTACCAGGAATGCCTTTCCAATTCTTTGCTTGGCTAATTCTTATTTTTAAGTGTTACCTCCTCTGGGAATATTTCTCTAACTAGGCCCTCCTTACCCCAGATTAAGGGTCCTTCCGCTGTGTAGCACGTAAATCCCATTGAAGAAAAATGATCCAATTTGTCTGCCTTCCTACCCTAGGTTTAAGCTCCTTGGGTAGGATCTTTTCTCTCTCTCTCTCTTTCCTCCCCTCCACCCCCAGCAAATGCTCAATAACTTTGTTTGAGCTAAACAGTTTCCAAGCAGGTACCCAACACTGCTAGGACTCAGCCAGAGGGGTAATGAAAAAGACCCAGAGACCCAAAGGAGACAGAGGGAGGGGGACCTCATCAGAGAAAGGCTGAGAAAGCCATTTATCTTCTGCAGTTTCCTCTATAAGCAAGTGAGGCTTAGAAATACCTCTCACAGCCACCCCCGCCCCCTTCTGCCCAGCTTAGTTTCCCAGGAAAGGGAAGAACAGGCAACATGTCACCCCTTGATATCTCCGGAAGCCATCGTCTTTTCATTTGTACTGCTTTACTTTGAGTTTGGGCTTTTGCAATAGCTTCATTCATTCAACAAATAGTTGTTGAGAACTTAATCAGGTGGGCTCCGGGATGGGCTAGGGGATATATCATTGAATGAAATATCTACATTTATTGAATGTATATTTCTAGTGAAGGATCCAGAAAATAAACAAATATACAATATGTCTAAGAACTTCTTTAAAGAGCAATAAAGCAGGGTGAGGGGCTTTTTGTACAAGGTGGTCTGGGAAAACCTTCCCAGAATGAAGGGATGGAGCAAGCAAGCCATTTAGAAAACGCGAGGAAGAACCTTCCAGCAGTTGGAACAGCAGGTACAGCTGTGTGTTATGTGTTCAAGGAATAGCAAGGGGGCGGGTGTTGCTGGAACTGGTAGTTGAGAGGGCAGTGGAAAGAGAAGAGGTGAGAAAAGCAGTCAGGGGTCATATCACGAGGCTGGCAGGCCCTGACACAGACTCTAGATTTGATTCTCAGCATGATGGGCAGCTATCGGAGGACCGAGAACAGTGCTGTGTGGCTGACATGGGACAGACAAAGGTGGAACAGGGGTTCAGTTAGGAGGCCTCTAACAGTCCAAGTGAAAACAGAGCTGGGGGTGTGGCGTGTGCATGAGGTGACAGTGGGGAGGCGATCTGTTCTAAAATGGATCTAATCAGATTGCTTCCCAGCTGCTCTCCCAGGTTCCAGGGCCCATCTCCCCCTTCTACTCTATTCTGCCAGACCTGAAGTCTCTTCAGGGCAGAGACTTAAGTCACTGCTGTATCCTCAGCACTGGGCACCGTGCCTGGCACATAGCAAGCTCCCGTTGCTTGAACGCTTACATAAGTGGTTCCTTTACACTGGTTCCAAATTAAATTGCCTAAATAATAGCTCTGATGATATCATTCCTTTAGCCCTTGGGGCTCGCCACTGCCTAGAAATAAAGCCTTTACTCTTTAATATGTCATTTAAAGTCCTCTCTGACTTGCTCCCTGACCTAATTTCCAAGCCTGTCTTCTGCTACTTCCCTGCCTCCATCTATCTATCCTGATCTTAGTCAAAATGTACCATGAACTATATTCTCCATATAGGCATGATTTTGTCTTCTTATTTTTGCTCATTTCATTTTCTACACGTGAAATGCCTGCCCCATCCCATGAATGTCTGTTAAAATCTTACCTATTTCATGGCCTAGTTTAAATGCTACCTTTTCTCGGAAGCATTTATGATTCACTCCTTTTACCTTCAAATTATTTTTAATCCTGTTCTATGTTCTTCTAACATTTCCCTAATATCGCTTATCAGAGTAATGTATCAGGGGCACAGGGCTATGGTGGAAAGAGCACTGGGATTAAATCTTGCATTTATCACTTACTGATCCTGTAAACTTGGCTAAGTCACTTAAGTCTCCTAAACACTACAGGAAGATAAATAATACCTGCCCTATTGACTGAGTGGCCCTGAGGATGAGAGATTACATCTGTGACAGACAGCCCTTTGTTAACTGCATTTTTATTATATCGCATATCACATTCTACTCTGTATTAGAGCTACTGGTGCACGAGTCTCTTCTTCATAGCAGGTTGAAAACTCGTGGTGGGGACAAGGACACGTCTCTGTATCTTTCCATTCCACAGTGCCTTGTACAAGCAGGTGCTGGGGAAGTGTTGGCTATATTAAACTGAATTGCTCCCTGGAGGTCCCTTCCAATTCCAGGCTCTCTAACTTTCTATCTTTTCACACATAGAAAGTGATTGTTTGTTCCCTCAGTTCCTGTGCTGTTGCAAGCTCTCTAATGCATTGTAGCAGATGCTTCTCTGTACCCCCAGACCCTGGGCCTCACACACCCTGATGTCACAGCTCTGGCACTGTGCCCGACCTCTTCTTCCCCAGGGACTGCTCCTACCTCTGCCAAGATGCCTTGGCGATGAGTCTTGCAGAGATGATGGTGAAAGGCCAGCTCCAGATTGGACTGAAGCTGCTCTACTTTCCTTTTCTCTTGGAGCCCCGGCCGGCCTGAAGGAGGGGATGGGACCATAGTAAGAACGAGAAAGAACATGGACATTAGCTTCCACCAAAAGGGTGTACTGTTTTGGACATCTGTTCTGGATGAGGTCTTTCAGCTGAGTGCGTGTGTATGTGCGTGCGCACGTGTGTGCTTTGATCTGATAATGGTAAGCTCTGGGGCCTTGGGCTTGGCTACCTGTCTACAAGGAAAACTGGGGAGAGAGATGAAAGAGATACGAACTTCCATAGATAAGCTGTCTTCTCCCTGGTACCCTGATATTTCTCATCGCCCATCCAATGCCAGGCACTAGGTTTCTGCCGGGGGTGTGTGGGGGGTGGAGATTGGAAGAGAGTTCCCTGTCCTCTGGCCAATGATGACTTCACATAGGAGATGGCCTTTGTGAAGCCACCAAGGCCAGCATCAGGGCCTCTGCAGGAGTCTGGAGCCAACTTCAGCAGACAGACCACTTTTTGCTCTGGCTCCATAGAATAGCCAGAAGTCATCTTTCAAATTTTTATTTCCAGTTTAAGGAATATTTTTAGGTCTCTACTCATTGGCAGATCCAGAAGACTGATAATTTTGGTCCGTAAACTCAAGTTAGTTGCTTGACCCACTTCCCCAGGTTCTCTGAATACTTAGCATTCTGCTGGCCCAGCCCAGGCCACTCCCTTTAGGGGAGTGATGTCCAGAGTCCTGCCATGATGGTGTACTGTCTTCAGGTTAGTCTACACAGAGCAGAGATTCTCAAGTTTGGTGGCACATTATGATCACCTGTGGGAGGCTGTTAAAAATTCTAGTGCTCTGGCCACACCCCAGGTCAAACACCTCGGAGTCTCTGGGAGGTGGGCCCAGGTAGCAACCCTGTTTCAAGCTCCCCAGGTGGTTGTAACGCGCAGTCACAATGGCATGACTGACTTGGATGCACAAGCAGACTCATTTCTTTCAGAGAAGTGCCTCACTTCCCCTCATCCTCATATCGCCCTCTTCCCCAACTCCCTGTGCTGCCCTTTTTCCTCTCTCAGGCTCCTCTGAATCTTCATTTGAACTCATGTTATTTTATAGCCATATTGGCCTTTAATGGGCTCTATGCTCTTTAAAGCAATTTCCTAGATTTAACCACATCCGAAGGTCTAGACTCTTCAATATCTGTCGCACCCCCCCAGCCGAATGTCCCTGACCCTAGCCCAGCGACACTCACTGGCATTGATGAGGACAAGGGCTGTGTACAGGGCAATCTCGTCCTCGGAAAAGTGCAAGGCACTCAGGGAGCGGGAAAAGTCAAAGATGGAGCTGATGAGCTCGCTGCAGCCTGATGAAGAGGACACAGAGACTGAGCAAGCTGGGGATGCCACGGTGCCCAAGGATGCCCACCCTCTTGGGGTTTGGAGCAGGGGGGCGCAATCTGCCTGGAAAAGAGGATGCCCTGGGTCTCGAAGCTCTAGACCCATCCGACTCCTCTCTCTCATTTCCTCCTGCTTCTCACCCAAGGCTCGGAACAGCTCCACGCCACCGTATTTGCCCTCGAAAAACACTGTGTGGTTGTTGGCATTGTAGGCCCGGCACATCCTCACCAGCACCACCTCCATTGCTCCTGGGAGTGGGGAGGAAAAGGGCAGGGGCAGCGTCACCCAAAGCCAGGCCCTCGTCTCTGGCCACCTCGGGGTCCTGGCTCCTTAACCACCTCCCTCCACCCTGCCCCACCCCCTTCCCTCCAGGCCTGCCCACCCTCCTGGCACCTGCTTTGAGCAGCACAATCTGGTCATTCTGGCAGAGGTCCATAAAGCCCGAGAGCCTCTTGGCGAACTCCACCACGTACTGAATGGCCTCGGTGAGGCGGTGGGCGCAGCGCTCCCACATCTCCCACATCGACTGCAGGGAAGGAGGAGGGTCCCACTGTAGCCCTCTTTAGAACCCGGTGACTGCCCCAAGCCCCTGGGAGCCTGGACTGACAAATTGCAGGGGGCAGTTTATGAACTCCCCCATTCTCTCAACTGGGCCGTTTTAGCCTATTCTCAGCACAAATGCACATTTGGGTCAAGTCCTATCATTGGGTCCCACTTACTGAGCACCCACCCCAAAATGACATACTCAAAGGTCTCAATAACCCAGAGAAGCCACAGTTCAGTGCCAGATGAGTGTTTTTAGAGCCGGTGGTATTGCCAGAGTGCGATAGAGGAGAGAACGTAAGCTTTGGAGCCCAATGAGCCTGAATTTGCCTTTGGCTCCACCACTCTGGGACCTAGAGTGACTCTATTAACCACCCTGAGCTCAGTTTCCAGGTCTGTTAAAAATAGAAACACATACCAACCTCATAGGTTGGTTGTCATAAGGGTCAAGGATAATTGTAAAAAAGCATTTCCCACAGTGCCCGGCAGAGAAGGGTGTTCAATGAGTGGTAACCAGGGCTCTGACTGTTGTTCTGGTTGATGGAGGGGGAGGGACAGTGCCCCGGGTGGGGTAGTGGAGGCCGAGTAAAGTGTTACCAGGCAGAGGCTCAGGGAAAGCTCTCGTCCACCTGCTGCGATGAAGACGCCCCCCTGCTTCAAAGTGGGCTCACACGTGTGTATCTGTGATGCCCTGCTTCACCCCAGCCCACAAGGTGTGCTGGTAGCCATCTCTGGACTCCCCGGCGGTAGGAGGTCCTCCCTCCTGGCAGGTCCCCTGGCCTCACCTTCCTCTGGTAGCCAGCCACCTCCTCCCGGGAGAAGAGGTTGGAGCGTTGCCGCAGCAGGTCCTCCAGTCGCAGCTGACACGTCTCTCGGTAGGACTTGCACACATTCTGCACCAAGTGTTCTGGGGCCAGAGGAGAAGGCACAGGCTCTGTCTCAGCCAGCTCCTACCTTACACGTATGAAGGGCACCCCTTCGCCTGGCAGCCCCCTTAACCCCTTGTCCAGGACCCCTCAACTCCCTTGGGCTCACGTTTGGTTTACATGGGGTGCCAACTAGGACCTCTCTTGGATTCCCTTTCCTCATCTTCCCCACCCCTTCTGCCTCTCAGCTGCTCACCAATGTCCGTCAGGGAGGCATAGGGCACCTCCGGGGTGCTGCGGTAGCTGTCCGGGCCTAGCCCAGGATGCCTGGGATCCTCAAAATGAAGTCCGTATCTGTCAGGGGTCAGCTGGCTGCCCGGGCTGTAGAAGCTCTCTCTGCCCTCAGCCTTGCCCCGCTCAGGGCTGTATTCGAGGTGGTATGAGGCCCCGTTGAGCCCCGCTTTGGCCAAGCTGTTGGAGTAGGAAGGCCTGGAGCCTGGGGCTCTCAGGAGGCCAGGGGGGCAGGCAGAGGCCTCGGGCAGGTCAGGTGAGGAGCCCAGCGGCAGCTGCCCATCTGGGAGCCCCAAGGTGCAGGAGAGGGGGTCTGCCCCTCGGCCCCCTGCAGGAGGGGTTCTGGCCACCTGCTCCCGCTGCTGCTGCTGCTGCTGCTGCTGCAGTTGCTTCTGCACCTCCGCGTGGAGGCTGTCCCTTTGCTTCTTGGACATGCGGCCAAACTTGACAGCTGAAAGAGGTTGGGGACCAGGAGTTTTTCAGGCAGGAGGACAGGTACTGGGCCGACTCCACAGGCGTTTTGATTATTGCGGGATTATCGAGCTGTTCCCTGAACAGCTGACTCCAGGCAGAACTTGTCAGGTCTTGCCTGAGAACCTCCCTCCAGGGGACTTTTGCTCAGGACCCCTCCCACCTCTCTCCTGTTTGCTTCAGGGCTCTGTCCAGCCCAGGCATTTTGGTCTCCTGAGCAAAAACTCTTCCCAGCTTGATGTCAGCTTCTAAATGTGGCAGAATTGAAGCAATGAGTCTGGACTGAGAATCCTGGCCTCCTGGTATTGGGGCTGGGGGTGGTGGAGTAGGGGGCCTCGAGCTGTATCGGGGTCACCTCGCCCTTCTAGGAGGGTCGGAGGAAGAGGAGAGCTGAGAACACAGGTCTCCCTGTGGTCAGGCCTGCAGGCTCCCTGGTGACCTAGATACTCACCACAGCCCAACCCAGGTTCCGCGGCTCGCTTCTGAACATCCTCTTCTGCTCTCTCTTTCCTGCCTTTTCACTCCCCCCCCACCCCTCCCAGGTGTGGGGGCACAGCCCCTCGCCCCGCCTGCCCCTTGCACCCCTGCCTGTTTCCTTTCACTTTGTTATTTTGGGCGCTGAAAAGTGCTGACAGGCTCCTTCTGGCTCATCACCTCATGGCCCCCCAGCTCTGCCTCGGGTCCCCTCTGTGGTGGGGCGGAGGTGGGGGGCGTGAGGAGGGGGTGGGTGAGGAAGGTAGAGGGAGGACCAGGAACAGCAGGCCTCCCACCCTCAGGGCCTCTGGGTTATTCTCAGGCTAGAGCGATGGGGGCAGGAGGGGAAGAGGTAGGACCTGGATGGTTTCTGGGCCAGGGGGAGTGGAGTGAGGAGAAACCATCCCCAGAAGAAAAGGAAGAGTTGGGTACCTTGGGGAAAGGAGGGTTGTTCTAGCAAAGCCTGAAGCTGGGGACTGTGAAGAGCTCTGATGAGGGTGGTCTGCCTACCCCCACATTGGACAGTGGAAGAGACAGGGCCTGTCAGGGAGGGACGGAGAGGGGACCTCCAGCCTGCAGGGAAAGCTTGGGGGCTGCCCGCTCGGCCTCACCGTCTCGGGACATGCCCAGTGCCAGGCATTTCTGCAGGCGGCAGTGCTGGCAGCGGTTCCGGCTGGTGCGGTCGATGGGGCAGTTCTGCTGGCGGGTGCAGGAGTAGGCCACGTTACAGCTCTGGCTCCGGCGGAAGAAGCCCTGGAGAAGGCAGGTGGAGACCAGGCTGCTGGTCCTGAGTGCCTCCAATCCACAAGCTCCTGCCCCAGCTTCCCCAGATCCTATGGTCAGTTTCCTCTCCCCCATTTCTTAGCATGATTGCAATTAGTCCTACAGTCACTTCCCCAGCTGAAGACAAAGGCACCCTGTATGCAGAACCCCCAGGTAAGGCACCACCAAGCTGCCTCAGGAGCCCATCCCTGGAGTCCACAGTCACAAACCCCTCTCCTCATCTCCAGGAGACTGTGTACACGTGTGCACTCACCTTGCACCCCTCACAGGTAATAACGCCGTAATGGATCCCAGATGACTTGTCCCCACAGATTTTGCAAGGAATCACTTCGATTTGTGCTGGAANTTGTTATTTTGGGCGCTGAAAAGTGCTGACAGGCTCCTTCTGGCTCATCACCTCATGGCCCCCCAGCTCTGCCTCGGGTCCCCTCTGTGGTGGGGCGGAGGTGGGGGGCGTGAGGAGGGGGTGGGTGAGGAAGGTAGAGGGAGGACCAGGAACAGCAGGCCTCCCACCCTCAGGGCCTCTGGGTTATTCTCAGGCTAGAGCGATGGGGGCAGGAGGGGAAGAGGTAGGACCTGGATGGTTTCTGGGCCAGGGGGAGTGGAGTGAGGAGAAACCATCCCCAGAAGAAAAGGAAGAGTTGGGTACCTTGGGGAAAGGAGGGTTGTTCTAGCAAAGCCTGAAGCTGGGGACTGTGAAGAGCTCTGATGAGGGTGGTCTGCCTACCCCCACATTGGACAGTGGAAGAGACAGGGCCTGTCAGGGAGGGACGGAGAGGGGACCTCCAGCCTGCAGGGAAAGCTTGGGGGCTGCCCGCTCGGCCTCACCGTCTCGGGACATGCCCAGTGCCAGGCATTTCTGCAGGCGGCAGTGCTGGCAGCGGTTCCGGCTGGTGCGGTCGATGGGGCAGTTCTGCTGGCGGGTGCAGGAGTAGGCCACGTTACAGCTCTGGCTCCGGCGGAAGAAGCCCTGGAGAAGGCAGGTGGAGACCAGGCTGCTGGTCCTGAGTGCCTCCAATCCACAAGCTCCTGCCCCAGCTTCCCCAGATCCTATGGTCAGTTTCCTCTCCCCCATTTCTTAGCATGATTGCAATTAGTCCTACAGTCACTTCCCCAGCTGAAGACAAAGGCACCCTGTATGCAGAACCCCCAGGTAAGGCACCACCAAGCTGCCTCAGGAGCCCATCCCTGGAGTCCACAGTCACAAACCCCTCTCCTCATCTCCAGGAGACTGTGTACACGTGTGCACTCACCTTGCACCCCTCACAGGTAATAACGCCGTAATGGATCCCAGATGACTTGTCCCCACAGATTTTGCAAGGAATCACTTCGATTTGTGCTGGAAAAGAAAGAGCAGGAGGTCAGCCCGGGGGCGTTTTCTGGACCCTACCCGTGTTCCTGGGCTGTGGATACAGGGGCATGGTGCTTCCCCACCCAACCCGGCTCCAGCTTGCGGTTTCCCTCCTGCATACTGGAAGGGGTAAAATGCCAAATGCTGCTCAGCAAGGGGTCTGTGGAGGCCGTTTTTTGTGTTTTGTGGGGTGGCTGGGAGTTGTTCCAGCTCTAGAGGGGCAGAGAAAGCAGCTGCGGAGAGGCCACCTGCTCAGCCCTTCAAGTTGAAAAGCTCCAGTTGCCTCCCTCTCGCCTGGGGACCTAGGAGTCCTTACTGCTTCGCAACACCTGCTTCCCGCCTAGGGGGCTTTCTTTGTGCCACCCTCCCCCACTGGGTCTCGGCTCCTGTGGGCAGAGTGTGGGGTATGGCGGGAAGATGTGGTGCACCAGGCAGAGGGGACCTGGGGGCCAGGTAGATGCCAGCCATCCTCAGCCGGGCAGAGAACGCTCAGGGAGGGGCAGGGTCCACAGAGTGGGGCCCAGAGAGAGTAGGGAGAAGACCAGATGGAGTGCAGGAGAGTGGGGCTGTGCCAGATGCCCGAGGGCCAGGGCTCCTAGGCCCTTGGCCTCAGAGCAGAGAGAGGGTAGCCCTGTGAGCATGCACACGAGGGCCTCTGCTTTCAACTACATGCACACAAGTCATGAAGGTGAATGCTGCCTGGGACTTGAGACCATCTCCTTCTGCCCTTTCTTTCCTTTACAAGCGATGAAAGAGGCCAGGCGAGGAAGGTGGTTGGCCCAGGTTCACGCAGCTAGTTTGCCCCAGAGCTGGGTATACATCCCAGTTACCCGAAACTTTCCATTGTGCTGTTCTATGTACACAGCTTTTGGACATGTTTGAGTGTGTGTGTGTACACATGAAAGGTACATGTGATTTGTGAGCCAACGGCATGTCTGTTTGAGCCAGGTGCACATGTGCATATTTGTGTGTTGGCGCTTGTTCGCTGGGGAGTAGGACCTTCCCTCCTGCCAACTGAGCTCACTTTAAGCTGTGCCTGCCCCCCCTTCACTGATGCTGGCCCCAGGCTCAGTGCCCTGGCCCTGTCAATGCCCACAGTTCTCTACTGAGTCTCAGGGGCCAGCAGTTGGCATTCATCCAGCCTATCTTTGAAGGGGAGCTGGGCAGAGTTGGGATTCCTGCTATTTTGGGTGTTTTTGTCACTCCCAAGGGCATATGGGTCTCTTTTCTGCCATTGCCGACCTGCTGCCTCCCCTCTGAGCTCCTTGGGGCCTACACCCTGGTCATGTCTAGGGCCTGCTGAGGTGAAATGGGGGGTGGCCATGGTTTGCCTGCCACTCCCTGAAATGTTGTTTCCATCGGCCTTGAGGTGAGTCAGAGTTAGCAGCTGCCTTCTCAAGGGGGACAGGGCACATAGGTGCATGAAACCCTCCACTGGGACTCGATTCCCCATCCCCCAGCCCCACTTGCCTGCGCATCACCCATGCAGAAAGCTGTGATCGTCCAGGACAGATGGCAAGTGAGCCTTTCAGATTCTTTCCAGTAAGTAAAGAGCAGATTGGAATGCATGGAGGGGAAGAGAGAACAAGAGGGGTTCGAGTACTTGGAAAAGGGCAGAACATATGGGGCACCTGCACGTCCAGTCACTTAGATTCTCCAGGCCTCAGTTCCCTTGTTGGTAAAAACAGGATAAAAATAGCATCACTTTTCCACGGGGTGGCTGTAGGTGGTACAGTTAAATGGCATCACCTGTGGGAAGCCCTGTGCTGGATATGAAGCACTGTGTATGCCAGTTACTGCTGAGCGGAGCTGAGGGGAAGAAGGCCAGTGGGCATCTGAGGTCCATGGACATGCTTGTGCCCCATTGAGTCTGCTTTGCCTCAACACCTTCCCCCCAACACTGTGGTATCTCTCTCCTCGGTAGACCTAAGCCCAGAGAGGGGAGGAACCAACGTGGGTCACCCACAAAAGTAAGCGGGAGGGAGATTAGGCCAAGCCACAGTGGGAACTCAGGCTCCAGCCCTACCATCGACCACAGGCCTCCCTGCCTGTTCCCTTCTCCCAGAGCCACATCCGCATGCGTGTGTGTGCTGACCACATGGGTGACCCAGACACGTCTCCCTGCTTGACCCGCTGCTGGTCCTGGCCCTAGGAACCCCACAACAGTGTCACCAAGACCTTGCCCTTCTCATGGGACAATGTAGCCAGCCACAGGCCCCTATCACAAATATAGTGTTTGGGGGATGTCTGACTTTGGACCCCAGCCATTAGGCCAGCCACTCCCCCATGTCCCCAACTGTAGTCCCAGACAGAGGTACCCAGTGAGACTGACAAAGAGTCAGAGGGTCCAAGTTAGAGGGTCAGGTTAAGAGAGACTTAGACCCAAGATGGAGAGATGGCCAAAGAAACACAGAAAAACCCACTAATGTCCTAGCCCTGTCAGCACTGTCAGGCCCTTTTATCCTACTCCTCCCGCCTTCCCCTGCCACCTGTGTCCCCTCCGATGCCATCTACCCAAAACTTCAAAGAGAAAGTCCTGGTGCGCATGAGTCTGACTGTGGAGGAGGGGAGAGGATGAGAAGGGGACTGGCAGAGGTGGCAGTGAGGGTAGCAGGAATTGAAAAACACCTCGGAGACCTCACCTTCTAAACCTACCCCTGAGCCACCACCCTGCAGCAGCAGGTGCTGGGAAGCCAGATTGGGGAGGGGGAGCTGAGTAATCACAGGATTACTCAAACTGTTGCCTGGGAGCCTGGCCTGCCAGGAACTTACCATCTAAGAGCCTGACGGTGCCAGGAACTAGAACCAAGCAAAGGTCAGGAACCTCTGGGCCAGCCCTGCAGCACAGCTCCCTACCGCAGCCCTCGTCTGCCCGCACCGCTGCTCTGGGAAGATCTGAGCATCTCACCGCCACTCTCTCCCACGGCCAGGCAAAGGAAACCCTCCCATTCCAAGGAGGGAGAAATGGCCCCATGTGCGTGCTGTCTCCTGAAATCACTTAGTGACTGCATGACTCTAGCCCTTTTTGTCTCCAACAAGCTCGCCTAGGGATCTTGTTAACATGCAGGTCTGAGGGGGGCCTCGATTCTGTGTTTGAACAAGCTCCAGGTTGGCACCCCACCTTGTTGGGCCTCGGCCTACACTTTGGATTAGCAAGAATTTCCTCCCTCTTCCTGCTTTTTTGCCAGGCTCCCCCCACCTGGGGATGAGGGGTGTGTTGGTGGTCTCTTCCCCAGTTCATTCTGGCATCTTCCCCATCATCCAGAGTGACCTCTAACAATGTCATTCTGATGCAGTACTGAGAAAGGAAAATGAATCTCCCCTGGACTGCTTCCGACATTGGAGGATCAGCAGGGAGCTTCCTATGAGCACATCCTAAGTGGGGAAATACGGTAGAGACTAAGTAGTCTGTGCTCCCCTCCCTCCAGCCTCTAATCTCACCCTCCTCACAGCTGTGAGATTCATTGATAGCGCTCTTTGAATACTCCCAGAGCTGGCCCTGCGCCACCCTAGGAAGCCAGCCCTGGGCCCCGTCCAGGTGCCCTGTGCCACAGAGAGGAAATGGTAGGAGTAAAATGGAGGCTCCAATCTTGGGGGATCTCTCCCCTCAAACCCTAGAACCACCCTCAGGCCTGGTGGAGAATGGATGAAGACAGAGGAACCTGGGGTCCTCATGTCCTCTTGGTGCTGTCAGCCCAGAGCTGGGCCTTCCCTCTCTCCTCTCTCTCCTTTTCTCCAGGGGACGTTGATCACAGAGGAATGAGAATGACAGGCGTGAGCGTTGGCCAAATTCTAGCTCTGTGCCAAGTTTTGTCTACGTTTTTCATTTAATGATCACAACAACCCTGTGAAGTGGGCACTACTTGTATTGCCCTCATTTTACAGATGAGAGTGACTGAGTCCAGGAGAGAGTAAATGGCTTGACTAAGGTTACACCACCAGAGGTGGCAGATCTGGCATTTGAAGTCAGGTCTCTGTCTTGAGAGCCAGTGCCCTCAACCATTTAGCTATACACCCTACAAGAATGCGCTGCCCAAATGCACTGAGGAGAATGGGACGGGACAGGTTACTCACTGGCTGCAGGGGAAAGTGAGGGGGGCGGGCTAGGAACGGAATTCAGGGAAGACACTGTGGGACTAAAGCTAGGACTCATGTCTAATGTAAAGATCCGGAGAGACGATATTCCCTCTGTCCCAGCTCTTCCTCCGTGGTGTCAGCTTTCTCCCACCTTTACCCACTGCTCAGGGCCAGGCTTCTAACCCATCCCAGCAGAGTTCCTCACTGGGACTCCTCTGGAAAGCCACAGCTCCACTGGGGTGTAGCCTGGCTTTCATACATCTCAGGAGACCTCTCTGCAGGAATGAATGAATGAATGGGAAAGGGGAATGTGTCTCTTTTCTTAGCTAAGGCACCCCCTCTCCCCGCAGCCCAAACTCTCAGTCCCTTTCCCCAGGGAGACCACAGCTGGTCCACCGTGTGCCCCAGCCTGTCGCCAGCCTCCCTCCTTTCTCAGCTCTCAGTTCCTGCAGCTTCTGCAAAGCTGAAAACCACGGTGGTGGGTACCACCACAGGGGAGGAGGGGGAGGGCTGGATGGGGGTCAGGGGAGAAGCAGTTCTACCTGGTGAGCGCTCCTCCCAGCCCATGCGGAGAATTTTCTGCTGATACACCCAGATCCCAGGGCTGAGAAAGTAGCGAAGCTAAAACTCAGGTGGGCGAGGGAGAGTCTGGGGTTTTGAAAAGCCACGAAAGACAGCCAGCCACCTGAAACCCCCTCCTTGTGCCCCCGCCACCCCCGCAGTCTGGGACTAGAGAAAGGAGGGGAAACAAAAGAATTGAGTGAAAACAACCAGTGAATGGGGGAGGGGGTGAATCACCGGGAGGAAGCTCTGAGGAGTGGAAGCCCAGATGTCACACTCAGCCGCCTTCCCTGCCTCCAGGGTTGTGTCTCCTTTCCCGAGGCCTCTGCGGCTCCCGGAGGCCCGAGGACTCAGAAGGGCCTTGGCTCTGTTACCATCCCTCCCCTCAAATAGACATCTCCATCCTTTCTGAGCCCAAAGTCCCAGGAAAGGGGCAGCGTTGCAGCAGCAGGAGGAGTGGACTAGCCATGGAGGACAGGAGGAGATCCCAGGGCTCCGTTCTCTGGAGAGCTCTGTAGCAGGGGAAAGTCCCTGTTTGAGACTGGGGCACAGAAACAGGGCAGGAGGAGGGAGCCACTGGGAGGGATGGTGGCACCAACACCCAGGTCTCATTATGAGGGGACAGGCTGGGATGCTCCAACCTCTAGAGCCCTGGGCTGGGGGTGGCGTGTTTGGGATCCTAGTTAGGAAAGGGAAGAGAGGAAAAGGGGAAGTTGCAGGAGTGATATGAAGAAGGACAGACCCTTTGTAAAGTCCTCAGATGGCCCTGGCTCTCAGGGTGAGATCTGTGATGCCCTGGGGAGTGGGCCCTGTTTGGCCCACTGCTCCTCGTTAGCATGATCAGACCTGAGAAAGATCAGCTACCCCAGACAGGCAGGCACCTGTACCTCTCATGTTCCACCTCTCCATCCAGGCCTAAAGCCAGGGCCTTGGCCTATTGGCTCCACACTGGCCATGGCCTGAGTGAGATGACTGGCCGCCCTCCCTCTGGCTGGCTGGGGACTTTTTGGCTCATGGACATTTCCTCTCTACTTAGGAGCAGGGAGCCTGTACCATCCTTCCAGAAACTCCGGGAAATCCATGCCTCCTACTTTCTGCCTTCCTAGGCTCCACCGATACTCAGAGTCTCCCTTCTACCGCCAGCGGGTTTTCTATTCCTCTCTCCCTGAGTCCGTGTGCCTCTCTGTTCCTGCACTCCGGTTCTGTCTCAGGCCTCATACCACAATGTTTTGACTCTCCTGGTATTTCTCCATCTATATCTCTAGCCGGACGTCACTCTCTCCCATGTGTTACATTCACCTCCGTCCTTTGAGTTAGGCCTCTGCATCTCTCTTTATTTCTCAGTCTGTTTCTACTCCTTGGTCTTTGGGTGTGTCACGAGCCCTCAGGGCTCCAACTTGGCCCGGCTTTTGTCAGAGGACATGGTGGTGGCTGGCACTTAAGTGGGGGGCAGTCAGATAAGTTAGGGCTAGGAAATACCCAGAGCTGTCCAAGTGAGAAAGACCCATGGCACAGAGCCCCAACCAGAAGAGACCCCCTGTTCTTCCAACCTGGATGGAGCTGTGGGGGGATATTACGTAAAGATGCCCTGGTGTCACCTTCACCCCGTCCCACACACTGCTGCCCTCCTGCCATGCACTGACGCACACCCAGTCATTGGTTCCTAGGGCGGATTTGCTGATTTGAAGCCATTTCTGGGAAGACTAACCTTTGCTAACTGCTAATGGGAAGAAGCTAGAAGGGAAACTGACACTCCCAGGGGCCCTCCTTCCTGTAGAAGGTTTTGGCTCTTTGCACCCCTCCAGGCCAGCCCCAGCTCATACCCCTGCACTGGAGTCTCCATCCCAAGCTTGGAAGTGGAGCTTTTCCCTTTGCTTTCCTCCTCTCTGTCTACCCTCTGGGAAAATGGAGCATCAGTCACTACCTGTGGGGGTGTCCAACTCCAGGACCAGGGCTCTCTCCTTGGTCCTGGGCCCTCAGAATTGGGAGCGTCTTCAGAATTGATTGGTTTCGTTTTTAAATTCAGCTCCTTTGTTTTGCAAATGAGGAGACCATGACCCAATGACTTGCCTCAAGACTACATGGTTAGCCGGTGACAGAGGTGGTGGCAGAACCTGGTCTTTAGGCTCTCAGCCCATGGGTCTTCCTGGGGCCTAAGATGGCCTTACTTCTGTGTCTTGTGGGGAGACACCAGGTTGAGGCCGGGGCTGCCTCAGGGTGCAAGCCTTGGGCCCAGAGGGCTTTCCTTTTTCTCCTTCGCCCAGTGCTCTGAGAGGTTCCCAGGCTTCTCTTGCGTGAACACGAGGACTGGCAAATTTGCCCTCTCTTGCTCTTTGGGAAGGCACAGGGACCCCAGACATCTGCCCACCAGCTGTTGGCCCATGGCTCCAAGCCAGAAAGGGGTGAAGCTGAAAGCTTTCTGCTCCCATCTGCACTGCCTGATCCCCCTCATCAAATAGGTGACTGAACCTGGGGGCGCGCGCACACACACACACACACACACACACACTCACACACTCACACACTCACGGCACCCTGGCTGGGTTCCACTCGCTCCTTACATCCCTGGGCTGGGCAGAAAGCCTGGTGGCTCCGAGGCCTGGGTGCTGGGTTCTGACCCTCTCTACCTGCTGACCTCACCCGACTCTCACTGTCCTGCTGCTCCAGGGCACAACAGCTCTTCTGGCCCCCTCTTCCAGGCAGGCAGGCGGGAGGCACAGAGGGCAACACTGCAGTGGGCGCCGTGAGTGCGCTCGGGATGCCTGTTAATCACCAGCCTCCACCTACTACAGCTGTGATCTGGAGGGAAGCCCTCGGCCTCTCTGGGGCTCAGTCTCTTTCTAAAATGAGGGGTAGGGCACCTCAGGTGCTCTTGGAGATCCTTTCCAGAGCTCACGACAGAGGAGTCCCTTTACTATCGTTGCTCTAAGAGAACTGCCTGGGAGCCAGACTTCCCAGCTTCTCCACCCGTCTCCCAACAGACCCTGGCCTTGATGGGGACACACCCTGCCCAGGGAAAGCACTCAGCTTTGCTCACTTTGTTCCCAAGACACCCTTCCATTCCAGAGGGCCTGGGGATGACCACCGGATCCAGGCTTCCCCCGTCCCAGGTGGCCCCATTCACTTACTTCTCATGGCTGAGCTGTGGGCTTTTGCCACCTTGGCTCCCTGTCCTTCTCAGCAGGGGGGTGGTCCAGAGATGGGGCCCAGCTGGTAGCAGGGTTGGGGGCGAGGCCTCTCAGCAGAGCCTCAGCCCGCAGCTCTGCACCCAGCTCTCCCCCAATGCTTCTGGGCAGGGGGGTTTAAGCTAGCACCACACAGGTGGCTGAGTGACAACCCCCCCCAACCCCCACCCCTCCCTAGGGTGCAGTGGGTAGGATGACAGGCGCCCCACGTGGCCAATCTGGGCCTGGGGCAGGGTGTGAGGGGTGGAGCAGCCAATGGCAGGGGGCGTTGGAAAATTCCAAAACCACACACGACAGCCACGCGCGGTAAAAGCTGTTTCCACCTGACAGGGTAGCTCTGGCCGGGGAGCCAGAATGGAGCTCACAGGAGCCTGGGGCCAGTTTCCTACTCCCCCTCCCCTGAAGACTCCCAAGCCTGACCCTCTTTGCCAGGTGACTCCGGGGATGTTTCTAGAGGTAAGTCACAGGATGTCTGCCTGGGGTGGTGGCGCGTTCCACCTGAGACCCTGTGGACTGCCAACAGCCGTGCCCACTGAGGCGCAGTCTGGGACTCTGCCTCCGCCCCCATGCTCACGCCCTCCCTACCGACATGATGTATGCCCTGGGGCAGGGAATAAATGATAATAGTAGCAGTAATAATCATCAGATAAATGTCCACTATCTCTAGGAAAGGTTAGTCTGTCCAAAATTTCCTCAGGAACAAAACTGCTGGAATTTGATGATGATGATGATAATGATGATGATGATGCTATGTGTCAGAAGTGGTTCTCAGTGTTTTATGTAGATTATCTAATCCTCACAAAATACTTTATGAGGTAGGTACCATGATCCCCATTTCAAAGATGAGGAAAGTGAGACACAGAGAAGTTAAGTAACTTGCCCAAGATCACACAGCTAGTAAGCAGTGAAGTCAGGCTTCAAACTCAGGCAGTTTGGTCCTGGATCCTACTTGATGAATGGGAGGGTTTCTCTGGTCCAAGTCTGCTCTTGAGGGTGTCTCAGCTTGGGAGAACTCCTCGTGTGTGAGTTTCTCTATAGAGTTCCTTGACCTGGGAGTCCTTCAAGGGGCCAATCAATTTTGGTGACCCTCTCAGCCTCGTATCTGCTCTATGGGGTACCTCAGCCTGGGGGGTTCCCTCTTCAGGGCTCCCTTAGTGATCAGGCCTTCTCTTGGTCTGGGGGATCACTCCTGGGTTCCTCCCTTCTTGGGATTGTCTCAATTTGGAGCCCATTTTTCAGGGCCTCTCTGCCTGGGGAGGTGTTAATCTTTTCTGGCTTCTCTGGGTCAAATCTAAGAGGTCTCTGATCTTGTAGGAACTCCAGTAGCTCCTCAGTCTGGTCCAGGCCTTTCCCTGCTGGCCTTCCTCAGCTTGCAGGAGCTGGGCAGTGGACCGGGCGAAGGGCTGCCAGATTGGGTTCTTGGGGAGGACACTCATGGGGGTGGGGGTACAGTTGCACAGCGCCAGTGGGTTGGGAAGGGCATAAAGGGGTGCGGCCCTGGCCGAGGTTTCTGTGGTGAGGGGTTAAGGGTAGGAATGGAGCTTAGCCTCTTCCAATTCTAGCTGCTCTGAAACTCCCCCTTCACCCCCCACCCACATATGGTCCCTGGCTCCCTCCCCGCAGCTCACACGTCACTCCTTGACCCGCTTTCCTCCCAGGGCCCTGCTCAGCATTTCCGTGGGGCCCTGTGGCTAGGGGCAGGCGAGGCCGATCAGGATTGTGCTGAGCAAAGCAAGCCCCCACCCAGGAAGACGTGGCATCCTGGATGGCCCCCAGCCCTTCTGCCCAGCTCAGGGAGTGAGTGATGCTGCTGCCCTTGGGATTCCTCCGCCTGGAACAGTTAGGTTCTAGGCAATTAGGTTCTGGGGCAGCAGCGAGCTCTCAGGAGGAACTGGTAGGCCGTTCAAGGGAGGGCCAGAGAGGTAGCCTCTCCTGCCCCAGAGTTGTCCTCATCAAGTCAGGGACCCCTGCTCATGGAGGCCTTCCCCAGAGCGCCCTCCTGCTGTTAAAGGCATGCCTGGCTCTGATGGGCTATAAACTCTGGGACTGAGGTGGAGTGGGTGCATTTTGGGGGGTGGTGGGGTTAGCTTCTCCCACAAACCAGGAGGATAGATCTGATGTGCTGAGAGGTCCCTAGTATCCATTGGGAAGTCCTTCCTGAGCTCTAGCCGCTTTTCACATGCTGTAGCCTCGGTCTTCTGGGCCCTGGGACCCAGAGTGTCCCTGTGCACAGTGTTTCCTGCAGAGACCAAGGCTTTCCTGCTCTCCAGCCCTGCACAGCCCGGCCCCAGGCTTGCTCACACCTCAGGATGTGTTAACCACAGACATGAACACCAAACCTGGCTCTGCTGCCACAAAACCTTGTGCAGGCCTCCCTGCCTCCCTGCCCCACCCCCTTCCAGCTCTGTGTCTCTGTCCAGCATCTCTCCCCTCCTTTCTCCGCAGCTCCCTTTTCATTGTTGTTCCTTTGCAATGTCTCCTCTCGCTCGCCATGCTCCTTCCTTATCTCCTCCATTGACCTGATCTTGAGGTTTCTTCATCTCTACCCCTCCTTTCCTCGCCTCCCCACCTCCCCTGCTTTTCTAGGCGTCACCTCTCCATGCTGGGCCACCTCTTCGGGGCTCCTCCGTCTCTCTGTAACCTACCGTGCCTGTCTTTTATGAGAACCTCCCACAGCCCTTGCTGGATTGTGTGCCATCTCTCCACACCCCAGCACCAGTCCTTGACCCAATCCTCTACTCACAGCTGTGGGTCTTCTTTGCAGCCAGAAGCTCTGTAAAAAGAAGAGAAGGGATCAGGGCTGACAGCTGAAGACCACAGGATCCCAGAGACACTCCCGACTGGCCCCCATCCACACCCCATCCCTTCCCAGCGGAACCTGCTATCCGAGAAGGTGGGACCACCCTCCACAGCACCTTCTCTCCTTCATTCTCTGTCCTGCAGTCATACTGGCCCTCTTCCAGGTCCTCAAAAGTGCCAGGCTCCTCACCAATTCTGGGACTGCCCAGGCTACCCCTTCCACCCAGAATGCCCCCCCCTCCCCCCAGTCTAATCAACTTCCTCAGTGCTCAAGTTTCCCATTTGTCTCTTTCTTGGAGAAGCTGCGTGTGTCCCTCTCCCTGCCCTGGCTCTTACACGCTCAGCACCTTGCCGTTGATTTCCTGGCACCACATCACCTAACTGATGTCATTACCCGTGACCTCGGGATTTTCTGCTAGATGCTAAGCCCTGTGGAGGCAGGGACTGTGTCTGCTTTGTTCACTCTCTTATCCCCAGAGCCCTCCGTAGCCTAGCTGGCGAGAGGTGCACAGTAAGTAACTCTCAGTGGGAGTTAAATCTCTTGGTTGTTTATTTGTTCCTTTAAACACCTGGGAATCCCAGACTTGTGGGGGCTGAAGGTAGGGTGGTGAGGATGTTTGGAAGAAGAGAGTGGGAGAGCTGCAAACATAGAGTGGCTCTGCCTTCCATAGGCCCTGGCTCCCCCACCCACCAGCTTGCACAGGAAGGAATCCCTTCCCACCAGCTGTGGGGCATCGGTCTGAGTGGAGAGCAGTGGGCAGCAGGGAGCACAGGTGGGCTGACCCAGGGTGAGCAGGGAGGCACAGGGCTCCAGAGGGGCAGCTGCTGAGGGGAAAGCCTTAGCTAGAGCATCTTTGGGGGTTGTTCATTCAAGTGGTTAACATTTATTAAACACCTATCAAAGGAGCCCCTGAAGGCTCTTCCCTTGCCAGACCTGGTCCATTTTCTACACAGCAGTTCCCCATGGGGCACAGGGCTGGTCTTTTGTTCCAGAAAACCGTGCAGCCCTGCCTTTGCCCCCTATAGTTTTCCTAACCTCTGAATCTGCTCTCCGGTTAGTTTTTTCCTTCTGCGGTCCAAGGCTGGACACCTCCTGCTCCCAGCCCCCCACACTGTCCCTCTGGCAGGCTCCCTCCACTGGGCCAAGTCGGGGTGAGTAGGCTTGAAGGCCTGGCCTCTGCTGGGGTAGGGTTGGGGGAGGGCTGCCCAGAGAGGGAGTGGCTCCATCCGGTCCCTCCCACCTGCCCGCTGATCCTGCCTTAGCCCCACTGGGCTTCCTCTCTGAGGTGGCACCCTGGCATTGCTCTCTGGCCTCCAGCCTTGCACCTGAGAGCAGTCCTGGGTGCCTGGCAGTGGCGTTCTTCCTCCACTAGGTGGCCCCGAGCATGGCAGCTCTGGCCTCAGGCTTTCCCCCTCAGTGCTCACAGCTGACTAAGCATGTGGCATGGGATCTGCTTGGAGAGGGTCTCTGAGTTAGACCATTGGCGGGACCAAGGACTGCCTGACTCTGTCCCCTGCCGTTCTGGGCTCGGTATCCCACATTCCCTGCAGAAATGAAACCCCATGCCCCTGGGCCAGTGGGAGGAAGGTGCCAGGCTAGTGGGCATGGGCAACTTGCTTCCTCGCCCCCGCCCTTGTCTGTCATCCTCAAAGGCAGGACAGACTTCTTATTGGTGAATGAACAGGATTGAAGTGGCCAGGTTCCCAGCCACTGCCACGTGGGGTTCTAGCCAGCTGAGCCAGTGCAGCAATGTCCCCACTGCTCCAGGGGGCGCGGACACCGGGAAGGCCTGCCCACATTCTAATCCTTCCCTTGACCTAGCTTCCTTGCTTGTGCCCCCCCACTTGTCTCCTGCTTCCTCACTGCTCCCTTTCTTTTCCTTCCACGCATTTCCCGTTCCTCCCCCTTTCTTATTTCTCCTCCTCTGTCATGTCCCCAGCCCCTCCTTCCGTTTCTCCTCCAGATTCTATCAAGACTTGTCCTGTCTCACCTGTCCTCGGTCCCCTGACAATCCATCTCGCTCCTTCTCTCTTCTCTTGTCCCTCCTTCCCTCCTCATTTCTTGACCAGTCCCATCTCTCCCTCTCCTCAGAACCTCCTGGTAGTCCCTTCCACCTGCCTTCAGGGCCTAGGGCCTCTTACCCTGGGAGGCTCGGTGGTGTCTCTGTGGGGCCCTGTCCATGGGGCAACTCCCTGGGTGCCGTCCTTGCTGCCCTGGCTGCCCAGGAGGGCAGGGAGCAGGGCCCAGGGGAGGGGGGAGGGCGGAGGGAGGGAGCACCTGGCCCGTCAGCAGGCAGGGGAAAGGA